CTCCTCCTCCTCCTCCTCCACCTCCTGCTCTCTCATGCTCGCTCCTCCTCTTCCTCCCCCTCCTCCTCCTCCTCCTCCTCCTCCTCCTCCTCCCTCCTCCTCCTCTCCTCCTCCTCCTCCTCCTCCTCCTCCTCGTCCTCCTCCTCCTTCTCCTCCTCCTCCTTCTCCTCCTCCCCTCCTGCTCCTCTTCCTCCTCCTCCTCCTCCTCCTCCTCCTCCTCCTCCTCCTCATCGTCATCATCATCATCATCATCAGCATCATCATCATCATCTTCCTCATCCTCCTCCTCCTCCTCCTCCTTCTCCTCCTCCTTTTCATCCCCTCCTCCCACATCCTCCCTCCTCCTCCTCCTCGCTCGCCACCGACGTAAGGGTCAGTGGTCTCCGTCCGGCTCACTCGCGAGAGGCTTTCGCGGACCCCCCTCCTGGCAGGCCGCGACGCCACGCGCCTCTCGAGCCGAGGCGCTCGGACGCGCTCGGCGAGGGTGCTCCCCGCCAGCGCTGGTGCTCCTCACCCTCGCGCCTCCTCCTCGCTCCTCCGCCCCCGCCCTCTCTCCTCCTCGCTCTCCCTGCCAGACTCCTCCTCCTCCTCCACCTCCTGCTCGCTCCTTTTCTCTCCTCCTCTTCCTCCTCCTCCTCCTCCTCCTCCTCCGCCTCCTCCCCCTCCTCCTCATCCTCCGTCCTCCTGCTCATCCTCCTCCTCTCCCCTCCTCCTCCTTCTCATCCCTCCTCCTACTCCTCCTCCTCCTCCTCCTCCTGCTCGCTCCTCCTCGTCCTCCTCCTCCTCTCCTCCTCCCTCCTCCTCCTCCTCCTCGCTCCTTCTCCTCGTCCTCCTCCTCCTTCTCCTCCTCCACCTCCTGCTCTCTCATGCTCGCTCCTCCTCTTCCTCCTCCTCCTCCCTCCTCCTCGTCCTCCTCCTCCTCCTCCTCCTTCTCCTCCTCCTCCTCCTTCTCCTCCTCCCCTCCTGTTCCTCTTCTTCCTCCTCCTCCTCCTCCTCATCTTCCCTCCTCCTCTTCCTCCTCCTCCTTCTCCTCCTCCTTCTCCTCCTCCTCCCTCCTCCTCCTCCTCCTCCTCCTCCTCCTCCTCCTCCTCTCCTCCTCCTCCTCCTCCTCCTCCTCCTCTGTTCCTCTCCTCCTCCTCCTCCTCCTCCTGCTCGCTCCTCCTCCTCCTCCTCCTCCTCCTCCTCCTCCTCCTTCTCCTCCTCCACCTCCTGCTCTCTCCTGCTCGCTCCTCCTCCTCCTCCTCCTCCTCCTCCTCCTCCTCGTCCTCCTCCTCCTCCTTCCCTCCTCCCTCCTCCCTCCTCCCCTCCCTCCTCCCTCCTCCCTGCTCCCTCCCTCTCCCCCCTCTCCTGTAGAGCCGCGTCGGCACCGCCAGCGCTTCTGGCGGAGCTCGGGGCCAGCTGCTGGCCGACAAGGCTGGTACGAAGCGAACATCAACTTATTCCAGGGCGACCCTACCTAGGAGTTGGAGCCCTTAGGAAAGCAGCATTAGTAGTAACGGTAAAGCTAAGCTAAAGCTAAGCTGAAGCTAAGCTAAAGCTAAGCTAAATCTAAGCTAACGCTAAGCTAAAGCTAAGATAAAGCTAAGCTAACGCTAAGCTAAAGCTAAACTAAGGCTAAGCTACAGCTAAGCTAAAGCTAAGCTAAAGCTAGGCTACAGTTAAGCTAAATCTAGTATAAAACTAAGCTAAAACTAAGCCAAATCTAAGCTAAAGCTAAACTAAAGCTAAGCCAAAGCTAGAGCTAGAGCTAGAGCTAGAGCTAGAGCTAAAGCTAAAGCTAAAGCTAAAGCTAGGGGGGCGCAACTGAGGGAACCGCGGGGCGGGGACTGGGGGAACCGCCCGGGGCGGCCTACACTGCCCGGCCCTTTTAAGCAAACAAAGTAAGAACCCTCTAGGTAGAGCCTAGGTAGGGAAAAATCAAAAAGTGAAGCGACAGTGAAAAAGTAGATGCACCCCGAAGCGAAAATCAAAAAGTTCTCCCTTAGTCCCTCCCTCCTCCTCCTGCGTTTCCTGCTGCTCCTCCTCCTCCTCCTCCCTCTCCTCCTCCTCCTCCTCCTCCTCCTCCTCCTCCTCCTCCTCCTTCTCCTCCTCCTCCTCCTCCGCCTTTTCTTTCTCCTCCTCCTCCCCCTCCTCCTCACCCGCTCCTCTCTCCCCACATGCCAGACCCCCCCTCGCTGCGTACGGAAAAATGGCGGCTCTTATCAAGTTTCGGCCTTGAGGGGCCCTCGCCGGCTCACCAGGCCCTGGGACCGTTAAAAAGACAAACCAGGATGTCAAGCCGTTCCCGGGCAAGAGAGGTCCAAACCCCAGGGGCCCACGATGCGAAAAAGCACGATCCCGATAGCCTGGGTATAGACTATATTGACTATATATGACTATATATGGTCCAGGGTCTGCCCCCCCCCTCCCCTCATGCTGGTGCCATCGCCCGCCCACCCCCCCGCGCGATGCCCCCCCCCTCTCCCCTCCCTGTGGGTGTGGTGTGGTGCTGTGGGTGTGGCGTGTGTGGCGTGGTACCGTGGTGCTCCAGGAAAGCTCCGGAGGTCGTCGTCGTCGCCGCCGCCGTCGTCGTCGTCGTCGTCGTTGCCGTCGCCCTCGTCGTCGTCGCCGTCGCCGTCGCCGTCGTCGTCGTCGCCGTCGCCGTCGCCGTCGCCATCGGCGTCGGCGTCGTCGTCGCCGGCGTCGTCGCCGTCGCCGTAGTCGTCGCCTTCGTCGTCGTCGTCGCCGCTGCCGAGGGACCCTGAGACCCATCCCATCTGGGGGGGGGGCCCGAGGGACCCTGAGACGGGGATCATATATATATATATATATATGTATATATATATATATATATATATATATATGAAAGAGCGTGTTCTACCGCTGCTGGCGGAAAACCGGGGGGGGTCACTACCGGTTCGAACCCCTCCCCCCCCCCCCTCCGGAAAACCGGGGGGGGTCACTACCGGTTCGAACCCCTCCCCCCCCCCCCCAGTTCATCATGAAAAGGGGGGGGGTCACTACCGGTTCGAACCCCCCCCCCCCCTCGAAAACCGAGTGGGGATGCGGACAGTGGTGGGGACGGTGTTGGTGGGGACAGTGGTGAGGGGACAGCGGGACAGTTGTGGGGACAGTGGGACAGTGGGACAGTGGTGGGGACGGTGGTGGGGGCAGTGGTGGGGACATTGGTGGGGACAATGGTGGGAACAGGGGAGACAGTGGACGATGGTGGGGACGGTGGTGGTGGGGACAGTGGTGTGGGCACAGTGGGACTGAGGTGGAAACAGTGGGACAGTGGAGGGTATAATGGTGGTGGGGACAGTGGTGAAGGCGGTGGCGAGGACGGCGGTGGGACAATGGGACAGAGGTACAGTGGGGACAGTGGTGGGGACAGTGGGGACAGTGGTGGGAACAGTGGGACAGCTCAGTGGGACAGCGGAGGAGTCAGTGGGACAGTGGGGACAGTGGGGATAGTCGGGCAGTGGTTGGGGCCGTGGAGACAGTGGGGAGAGTGGAACCGTGGTGGGAACAGTGGTGGGGACAGTGGGGACAGTGCGACAGTGGTGGGGGCACTGGTGGGGACACAGTGGGGACAGTGGTGGTGAGGACAGTGGCGCTGGGAACAACAGCGGGGGATGTGATGCGGACGGTTGTAGGGACCGGGAGTCGTTTGCTGGCGGTGAGTGGGGTTAGGGGAGGGGCGGTTTTGCCGGGGAAGGGGGGGGGGGTCCAGCAGGGGGGGGGGGGGAGCGATTTTCGGAGGGGGGGGGCGACCCCCGGGCTCCGGAGGAAAATGTTGGCAATTTTCCAGAGTAAAGCGGCGGTGGATCACGCTCTCTTTCTCTCTCTCTCTCTCTCTCTATTATATATATATATATATATGTGTGTGTGGGTGTATATATATATATATAGGTGGACAAATATAGACATATATGTATATATATATATATATATATATATATTACCGGGGGGCGAAGATCGGTTGTGGCCATGCCCCTCCTGTGCCCAGGATCGGTGTGTGCGCACTCGCGTGTGTGTGTGTGTGCGTGTGTGTGTGTTATAGTGTGTATGTGCGCGCGTGTGTGTAGTTCACTTTGAGTCGAGTCTTCTCTTAGTTTGCTGGTTGGACTTACAGCTCCTCTGACACACGCATCGCTTGCATGTTGCAGTGTGCGACGTTTTGTACGCTGCGCCTTCGGCAGCGCGCGATCGCAATTAGCACTTCCATCTGCTGCCCGCGCTTGAGGACCCTCTGTGCCGTTGGCTTTATATATATATACATACACACACATATATATATTATATATACATGTGTGTATATATAAACGCGTGTGCGTGTGTCATTGTGCACCTGAATGTGTGCTTCTGAGCCCTCGGCTGGCGTGTCACCTCCCTGCCATCCACGCCCGTTTGTGTTGTGTGGCGATGCTGGGCGCTGCGGGGTCCACAGTGATCCCTGAGGGCACAGCCGCGTCCCCGCGCGTAGTAATTGCACTGGCTCTTACCGTCGCTGCGCGCGAGGCCGCTACTGCCAGGAAGTGTGTGTGTGTGTGTGTTGTGTGTTGTGTGTATGTGCGTCTGGGTGGGTGTGGGGGGAAGGGGGGCGCCTTCTGGCTGGAGGTGAGCGTGTGCTCCCATCTCTTGGGCCCAGGGTGAACCTGGCCAGGACTGGCGTATGGGTGTATATAGTCGGCGCCTCTCCTGAGCAGCGTCCAGGGCGAGGAGGGAGGGGACATGGCTCGGCCACGCGCGGAGGGAGTGGAAGGTAGGGTAAGTTAGAAGCACCCCTACTTCTTAGAAAGCGCGGGCCGTAGACGTAAGGCCGGCGCCTTCTAATAAGCAGCCTCCTTCTAGGAAGTCGCTGCCCCCTGCCCCACATGGTGAAGAAGGAAATGAAGGAGGCAAAGTTGGACGAGAAGCAGGGGGAACAGGGGCCTGCTGCCTAGCCGCCACGTCGGATCTCAGGCTTCGCCGCTCGCAGGGAGCCTTCCGCAGCGAGAGGCGGCCTGGGCTGCCCGCCGATGGCCGACGAGGCGCTGGAGGAGGCCGGCGGGGCCGAGCTGGCGGGCGCGCCGTGCGCCGAGCTGCCCGGGCTGGGGCGGATCCGCGGCAGCGCGCGCGGCGGCGTGGCGCGCTTCTTGGGCGTGCCGTACGCCGCGGCGCAGCGCTGGCGGCCGCCAGGCCCTCCCGAGCCGTGGGCGGGCGTGCGCGAGGATGACTGGGTCGAAGTTAGCCTCCTCCTCCTCCTCCTCCTCCTCCTCCTCCTCCTCTTCCTCCTCCTGCTCGCTCCTGCTCGCTCCTGCTCGCTCCTCCTCCTCCTACTCCTCCTCCTCCTCCTCCTCCTCCTCTTCCTCCTCCTGCTCGCTCCTGCTCGCTCTTGCTCGCTCCTTTTCTTCCTCCTTCTCCTCCTCCTCCTCCTCCTCCTGCTGCTGCTGCTGCGCACACCCTGGAGGAAGAAGCATCCGCACTGTCCCAACGCCGCGCACCAGCGGCCCACCGAGGGAGTCGAGGAGCAGGCAGCACGCACCGACCCGACGTTACCTCTCCTCCAACCCATCGCCCGTCCAAGCCCCACTTAAAGCAGCGAGGGAGCGGACTGGACGTCGCACCGTTGCGTCGCTGCTGTCGCTGCCGCCGCCGTCGGGCAAAGCACCCGGCATAGTACGGCCGGCAGCGCCCAGAGACGCGGAAACCCAGGACCAAAGGGGGAGCGAATCGCGATGAGCCGGCCGCTAACGCGGGTCCCCGCTCAGCCTCCCTCGCGCGCCACGCTCCGCGGCGGCCGCCGGGCGGCCCGCGTCCCAACGAGGAGCCTCGAGCGTGGTGACGGCCTCGACCTTCCCCGGCACGAGCAGCGGGGCGCCCAGCTGGCACCCAGCACTGTCAACGGTGGTCATGCCGGCCCGCCAGCCCAGGGAGCAGGAAGCTCGCGATCACCGCCTCCACTGGCGCAGCGATGTACTGTATTGCTTCGCCGCGGCCTCTGCCGCAAGCTGCATCTCCTCGGCCAGTTTCCGCTGGAGCTCCTCGCGCTGCTTCTGAATCCTTATCGATCCTGTGCACCTACGCCTGGGCGCGTTGCTCCTCGACCTCCGTCTGCGCCCCAACGCGCTGCTCCTTGACCTACGGCTGCTCCTCGACCTGTGCCTGCCGCCAGTCAATGGCCTCGTCGCAGACGCAGTCGAGGAGATCCTCGCACATGGCGAGGACTCTGCTGTAGTCCACATCGCCGTCAGCGGCCAACGCCGCGAGGATCAGCCTCGACGCATCATCGCTGCGACCAGCGCTGGGGTTTGCGAGCCAGCAGTGCACGCCCGTCTCGCGCCGCGAGTGGGCCCTGTTCTGCCCCTGCTCCCCGAGGTCGCGGACCTGCCACGGGAAGCCCTCCGAGGTTTCATCCGCAGAGGTAGGGGACGTCATGATACTTCGAGAAGGCGGGCAGGGACAGCGACGCCTGCGCTCCTCTCCGGGGGAAGCGCGTTCCCGCATCTGGACCCGCATCAGGGCCCAGCGAGCGGGGTCCAGCAGCCGCTGGCGGCGTCCTCCGCGCGGCACCGCGCCAGTAGGGCCGCGGCATATTTGGCCTGCTTCGCGTCGGCGCGCGCCGCCGCAACCGGTTTCTGGCCGAAGTGCTCCGCGTCGTCGGGCGCCGCCGCCGCCTCCGGCTCGAGGCGCACCGCCTCGTCGCGCCGCCGCCGCCCCCGGGTTTGCGCCGCATTGCTTCGCGTCGTTGTGCGCCGCCGCTTCCGGCTTCTGGCCGAGCTCCACGCCCGCGTCGGGGGCGGCCTCCGGCTGGCCAGCAGCAGCCTCGGTCTCAGCCTCCGCCAACTCGTCGGCGTCCTCGGCCTCCGCCCTCGGTGTCGGAGCGGGCCGAGGAGCACGCAGCGTCGGCCACAGGGTTGCCCTTGCGCCTCGGCGGTGCGCACCGATCGCTCTGCAGAAGCCCGCGGAGTCGGGAACAGCAGGGGCGGAGTCAAACCTTTGCTCTGCTCCTACTCCAGGAAGCCTTGTGGACAGCCAGCCGTGGGCGCGCCCTCATGTGGCGCCGCCTGGTGAGGGGTCATCCGCCCGCGCTGCCACGGCTCTTGCCAGCCTTGCACCAGTGCGCTTGTGGGGGGAACCAGATTGCCGAAAACTGCCACGCCGTGGAGATCCAGCATGGTCCCTCTAAGCGCTCTCACCCGTGACCCCGTCAGGATTGCTCACCCCCGCCCGGGAACCTCACCTGCTTTCGTGGCCAAGCTAATCGAGGTAGCATGGCATGACCAGCTCGCTGAACGCGCAGCGAATAAGTTAGGCTTCCGAGGCGAGGTGCTCCAGGTGGCGGCCGTGAGGGCCGTCCTCAGCTCCGCTGACCTGCCCAAGCCGCAGAGAGGCACGCCCCCCGCCTCCATGACCCAGTGTAACTTTGGAACATGGAGAGAGCTCATGCAGTACGTCGCGAAGTCCCTTTCGGATGCCCCCGCCGGCACCACACCGACAACGTGAAACGCAGGCTTGTCGAGTGCCCCAAGACCGAGAATGCCTTAGAAAGCTTCACCAGTGGGGGGCCTGTTCGGTTGCCAGAGCCCATCCTTGATATCACGCCACACCTTGGGTTCCAGTTGGTGCCTGGCGAAGATTTTTTTATTTTTATTGGTGATGTTTAGATAGATGGCAGTTGCGCGCGCAGTTGCCGCCCATGGTCATTGCAATCAGGATTCCGTTGCGCCCCGTTGGCGATGAGGTCTCTTCTTGCACTGGGTGGACAGCCCTCTGCTGTCCCTCTCCATATCGGATCCGCAAACTCGTGGGCTGCTCGAAGTGGTCGTAATACAAGACTTCGTGCCCTGTGGGGTCCTGAACACGATCCGTGTGACAGTGACCAAGAACAGTGGGGCTCATATAATGGTTCGCGCTTCCTCTGGGTTCTGGTATGACGGCGAAGCGAGCATCTCCAGCGCCCTTCGATTGGATAAGCCGCATGCTGCCCATGGGCCCCCCCCCCTGGGGCCCAGGGGGCAGGAGCGGCTGGAGGCTCCAGGGCCGATGGAGAGCCCGCGGGGTCCCAAGAGGCCTGAACCGAGGCAGCACCCGCTGGGGGGAGACATGCTCTTGACGAGCTTGGCCAGCGGCCCGTCCCTACGGGCAGCAGTGTCTGGCCATTCGCCTAAAGCGCTGGCGGATCATCTGGGAGATTTCTCGAGCAGAGCAATGTCGCTTCAGAATGACCCGGTCGGGTGCCAAGGTTCGCGGCGGCTTTGCCAACCCGATCGACGGTATCATTGCCGCGCGCAGTTCGGTGCTCTTCGGTGCCTAGGGCCAGGGCTGCTAAATATTGCTGAGCCCTCACCTTTTGGAGTCTGTCCCCCAGGCTGCGCGGGCCGCCTTCAGCGACAACTTTGAAACCCGCCCACTTGTTGCATATTGGGTAATCCTGGCCGCCATGCAGCTGACTCATCCCTCTGTAATCAGAGAAGATGATGCCGACTTGCGGGGAAAAGGCGGCCAGCTGCGACGGCGGCAATTTGTTCATCAACTCCAAGAAATTTGAACGGCGGAGCTGCCCACTCTCCCACTGAAGGCGGAAAACTCCCCGCGTCATTCATGCAGACAATTGCGAGCCCAACGGAATCCTTGCCCAGGAGTAAAAAGAGCCCCCCGTTGTGCTCAGGACTCCTGCAGCTCCTCTGGCCCAGCTCGTGTCAGAGGAGTTTTTGAAAGCCAGATCTGCGGAGGCATAGTGCCTGCCACTGCTGCAGGGGGCTGCAGCGGTTGAGACAGACATGAGCATACAGTTTCGGTTTAGGGTAGGGCCCGCCGACCCTCTTCCAGTCCAGACCATGTGGTTGTCCCCCCCGTCCTCCTCCTCGCTTCCAGGTTTTAGGACGCACGTTGCAATAGGTTCTCGTCGGATGTGTCTTGCCCCAGAACTCTTCGGCGGAGTGGTGCGTCTGGCGAAGATGGCGACCAGCCCTGGGAGAGAAAGTGACACCTGGCTTGCTTTCCCAGGAGGCCCTTCTGAGCCTTCAGACCTGCTCAGCAGCATTGAGGGTTCTGAGAAGAAGCCCCGCCGCCTCCCGAGAGGGCCTCCTCCTCCTCACTTCCCCCCTTTCGCTCGCCGCCAAGAGGGATCGGCGGTAGAAGGCGCCATCGCTGATACATCGCAGGCTGCTGCGTGCCCACTACTGCGGTGGGGGAGGGCGCGCGCGCGCAACAACCTGCACGTGGACAAGACCACGCGCGACTATTGCATCCAGGCGCAGCATTGCAAGTGCTTCTTGCACCTGTCCCCGCGGACCCCTCTGCGCCAGACCCACTACTCCGGCTTGAGATCAGGGGCAAGGCTAGGGAGGAACAGGCTCAGGGGCAGAGGCCTTCGGACAGCTTCGTTGGTCCTGGTCGGCTGTTCCTGCCTCGGGATGCGCTGCAGCGGTGGCGCCTCGCCGAGATCTTTCCGGGGATGCCCAGATCGCCCCGAACGGCCGCCGGCGAGCCGAGGCGTGGCCCGAGCGCCCGCGTCGTGCAGAACCTCGCGGCCGGAGGCTGCTGGTCTTCTTCGGGCTCCCAGGCCCTCCGCGGCCCTGGGGGCCGTCCACGGAGCAGCCCGCGGGAGGAGAGGCCGCTCCTGGGGGGGAGGGGCCGAGGCCTCAGGGGAGAGCCACGCTGCCCCGGATGTGGGAACTTCGCGCGAAGCCAGGCCATCACGTCGGAGTTCCGCCGTTCCGAGAAAAGGAATGCAGTCGGGGCCACGGCGAGGTGGGGCTCGAAAGCCTGCACTCGTGGTTCGCGTTTTCTTTTCTTCTTTTGTTTTGGATTTCGTCAGAGACCCGAATCATCAGGGGTAACTCGGGTCAGGGCTAACTCGGGTTCGTTTTTCGGGAATCCGAACCCGAGTTGCCCCGGGCCAGAGTTACCCCGGATAACTCGGGCGTCCAGAGCCCCAAATCGTCAGGGATAATTCGGGTCAGGGCTAACTCGGGTTCGTTTTTCGGGAATCCAAACCCGAGTTACCCCGGGCCCGAGTTACCCCGGATAACTCGGGCGCCCAATTTCGGCGGCGGCCGCCGATCAGTACCCAGCTCCTGGAGCCCGCGGACCTGGAGTGGCGAAGTTCCAACGCTACGAGTCGGTTTCGCGTGACAAAGCTGCGACGTCGCACGCCTGGGCAGGGGGGAGCAGGCTCAGGGGGGAGACGCCTCGGCCCCCCCATCGCCCACTCATCGCCGCCAGGGGCCCCATCGGCCCTCCTCCTCCTCCTCCTCCTCCTCCTCCTCCTCCTCCTCCTCCTCCTCCTCCTCCTCCTCCTCTAAGCCTCCTCCCCCCCCTCCTCCTCCTCCTCCTCCTCCTCCTCCTCCTCCTCCTCCTCCTCCTCCTCCTCCTCCTCCTCCTCCTCCTCCTCCTCCTCCTCCTCCTCCTCCCCTGCATCGGGGGCCTCTCGCCGATCGATGCGTGGCGCGTCGTCGCTTCCAGGCCGACGTTCCCCCATGGGGCCAGTCGCCCCCCTGCCGTGGCCCCCCAGAGGATCCGGCCGAGCTGCCCCGCTGCCCGCAGCCTTCGCGGACGGGCAAGGCTCGGAGGATAAGGAACACACACGCACATGTGCGCAGACTCCCGGAAATCCGCGCGGACTTCTTGGCAGGGGGGGCGCGTGATGGGGGGCGAGCAATGGGGGGGCAGCGATGGCCGCAGAACGGGGCCCCTTCGGGCTTCCGAAGGGCACCTTTCCTCCCCCCCCCTTTGATCGCCCCTCCCTTCATTCGCGCCCAATTCTTGGGTCCGCGCCGGACCCCGGCAGGGAGTGGCTTCCAGGATCGCGCCAGGCAGGGGGCGGTCCATCGCCGACCCAAGAAATCCGCGCGGGCCTCCGACACGGTGGAGGCCCATGCCAAGAAATGCCATGCTTGCCTGCAGGGTGCCCTGGGTTTCTTGGGTTTCAATGGTTTTGCTTGCGAAAGCGCGACGTTCCCACGCCAAGAATCAATGGACGTCCTAGGGTCTCAGGGTTGGCTTTCTTGTGGAAGGTTTCTTGTGGACTGGCCTCCACCGTAAGTTGATGCTCATGTGAGCGACGGGAGCAAGAGGGGTCGATTGCGCCGACGCTCGCGCGCAAGCTGCCCGCAGAAGGTCGCGCGTGAGCGCCCTCGATTCCAATGAAGCGTGCCGCGCCGGCGGCCCGCGTAAGTCGCGGCGCAAGGGCGCTGTGCCATCTCGCGCAAGACCCCTCTTTTTGTCCGTCGTGCATGTGGCTTTCTTTGCCTCTGCAGACATTCAGGGGCCACGACCTGGTGGACTCCGAGGAGCGCTGCCTCGTGCTGAACATCTGGGCCCCCCAGTCGGCGCTGCCCCTGTCGGCCGCGTCTGGCGCGGAGGCTGGCCTCAGGCCCGTGCTCGTGTACATCCCCGGCGGGGGCGGCAAAGTGCACTCGGCTCACGGCCCAGCCGAGAGCGGCCTCGCGCTCGCCAGGGCGCACGGCCTGTGCTGCTTCCACCTGAACTACAGGCCCTCTCGAGTCGCGGACAAGTCACGACGGGAGGTTTTTCTGTGTTCTGCGTCGGGGGGCCCTTGCTGGGCCTCGGGGCCGTCAATTGCCGACTCAGGGTGAAAAACCGGTCCAAGGGAATGGGTCGGGACCCCAGAGGGTCGACGTTACGACAAATTCGTGACGTCGGGGGCCTGGGCTACAGGCTGGGGGTCTTCGGCTTCTTGGCGCACCCGGAGCTCTCCGCCGAGGACTCGGGGGCGGAAGAGGCATTTACGCACCGATGCCGCTGCTCGTCCTGAAGAGCCCTCGCTGCCACGGCTGGACACGCGTCGAGCACATGGCCAGGACGCAGCCCGGGAGGGGCTAGGCGAGCGGCGGCGGCGGCGGTATCCTTAAGTCGGGCATGGCCCCCTACAGAAGGATATTCAAGAACATACATACGGTATGGGGACGATTGTTTTGAACTAGTTTGACTCTGTTGGTGCATTTTTGACTATTTTTCGCTTGTCTTCCAAAACCCCGCCTGCAGGAGGACCTGCCCGACCTGACGGTAGCCCGCGGCCCCCCCCCCCCTCAGGACGAGGCGGGGCGGGCCCGCGGCGCGGCGGCGGGCTCCGGGAACTGGGCCCTCCTGGACCTGGTGGCCGCGCTGCGGTGGGTGCAGCAGTACGCCCGCTGCTTCGGGGGGGACCCGCGGCGAGTGACCATCTCGGGCCGGGCGAAAGGGGGGGATTGTCAAACGACGCAAAGATCGGGACAAAATCGGATCGGGATAACTCGAAATCTCTGAGAATCGGCGGGCTTGGAGGATGTATTGGGCGCCGCGGCCGCTCCAGAGCGTTCCGGAACGCTCTGAGAGCGCTCCGGAACGCTCTGGAGCGATTTATCCCGATCCTAGCCCTGTTTTAGATTGGGAAACGGGGGGGTTACGAAATCTGCTGCACGCAGCTGGTTTCGGCCTCGCCGAGGGGCCCATTCCTCGATACGTAGCCGCCTCCGGCGCCGGGAGGCGCCGTGAAAATCAGCTACGTGAGCTGATTCTCAAAGGGGGGGATAGCAAAGGGGGGGGTTGAGAATCAGCTCACGTAGCTGATTTTCCCGGCGCCTCCCGGCGCCGGAGGCGGCCATGCATCGAGGAATGGGCCCCTCGGTGGGGCCGAAACCAGCTGCCTGCAGCAAGTTTCGTAACCCCCCCTTTCCCAATCCCCCCCTTTCGTCCGGCCCGAGACCATCTGGGGGCTCTCCTCCGGCGCTCAGTACGCCTGCGCCCTGCTGGCCTGCCCGGCTGCCCAGGGCCTCTTCCATGGGAAGAGCGAGCAGCGGCAGATGAAGACGCGTGTGCGGAGCTCCGCGCGGAGTTCTCGGATGGGTGCTGGGCCCCCCTGGCGACGAGGGGCAGACTCGGCCAGGGCTGAGCTCGGCCAGCCGAGCTCGGCCATGCCGAACTCGGCTCGGCCGAATTCAGCTCGGCCGAGATGAGCTTCGCCGAGTTCGGCCAGCCGAGGTCAGCTTGGCCGAAGTCAGTCGGCCGGGTCCAGCACGGCCGAGTTCGACTGGTTGAGTTCAGCCAGGCCGAGTTTTGCCTTGGCGAGTGCAGTCGCTGCCTGGCGGTGCCTCCGGCGCAGCCCCTGGCGCGGCCCACGTGCCAGGGAGGTGGGGCCCAGCGCCAATCCGAGAAATCCGCGCGAACTTCCGTGCGTGTAAGTTTGTACAGTTGTTCCCTCTTCTCTCCATGGCGCCGTGGTCCAGAGCTGCACCGACCTGAGCAGCGTGCGCAAGCTGCGCAGCGGCAGCGACATCTGGCTCGGGAGGAGCGCAGAGGAGTGGGGATGCGAGCTCGGTGCGTCGATGGGCTGCCCGAGGGGAGCGGGGCAGCTGGCCCTGATGCGGGCGCTCCCGGCGCGCACCCTTGTCGCACACTCGACCTCCGAGGCGGCCACCGATTGCTACGAGCCGTGCGCGGACTCCAGGGACGGCGTCTCCTCCAGCAAGCCGCTGCCCTTCTTGGAGGCGCTGTCGGCGGGGGATTTCCACCGCGTCCCCGTGCTGCTGGGCTTCACGCAGGCGGACGGACTCGGCCAGGTGAGCGGCGTACATAGAAAGGCTCGGCTTCGCGGGCCTCGGCGCACAGGCCACCGCCCTCTCACTCGCGCAGTGCGCCGGGCGGCCTGCGTGAGCCACCCGAGAAAGTCGCCGCGTCGTCGTGCGTAAGCTCTTGCCTTTGGGTCGAGCAGGTGCCAGAAGACCAGGAAGAGCGGATGTGGGGCGTCCCCCCCGGCTTTGCTTCCGAGATTCCTGGGGGGGTGCCGCGGAAGCGGTGGCCGGACGCGCCCAGAGCCAGCAGGGCGCCCAGAGCAGCATATGGAAGCCGCGTGTCGTGGGCGCCGCACCTCTTGACCCTCAGCAGGAAGACAGGGGGTATTTGCAAAAAAACGAAGGATTGCAAAAAAAAAGAACATTAGTTTTTTTGCAATCCTTCGTTTTTTTGCAATCCTTCGTTGCAGGGAACGGTGTTCTGAGATTCTCGCCGATTGCGGCCTTCCAAAGACTGCTCAGGCCACCTCAAGCACCGGGACCATCGGCAAAGATCGCCCACGATGCGGAGCTGGCTCCTGGCAGCGCCCCAGGTCCATGGACCCGCTGTCCTCAGGACCCCCTTCCCCTTGTGCCAACAGGCCTGGCATCCGACGTCACGAATTGACAAAACTACGACTCCGTGAACAAATCGTGACTAGAGCGCCCAGCCCAGTCCCCAGATCTCCGTCGATATGGTTTGTGACATCCCAGCGTTGTTCCTTAATTTTAGCCCCTGGGGCCCATCATCGGGCTTTGGGACCATCAAATATTGATCCGTGACGAATGACCTCCCCAATAGAAGCGGTCAGGAGCTCTGCGGCCGCAGAATGAAAATAAGGGCACCGAGAGCAGGAAGGCGGAAGGAGGGGCCAGTCGGGGCCGGCGCGGCGCCATCCCCACACACACGCCAAGGTGGAGCTCGAGCACACGATGTTCCAGGCCGTCTGGGTCGCAAGGTGTTGGTTACGCGGGCCGTCAAGCCCTCCCCTGGGGCCGGTCTTTCGTCCCGTGTCGCTCGTTTTGGCGATCCCCTTAGCCCGAGGCGGGCACCATGGAGGCTCCAATTAGGGAGTGGCCGCCCCGCCTTGATTTCTCGCGTCGCGGGAGCGCAGGCAGAGGTGCTCGAGTGGGAAGGCTTCGGGTTGCGCACAGACGGCCTCCGCAGGCAGTCCCGGCTGGCCTCAAGAGACCTCCCCGGCAGTGCCAGCTGGCATTGGCAGGCCCACCGAGAAGCCCAGAGAGGCCCCAACACCATGGCGCCAGCTGGGACTGCCGGGGAGGTGTGGGGAGGCCAGCCGGGACTGCCGGTGGAGGTTCTCCGTGCGCAGCCCGAAGCCTTAGTACCACTCGTGCAACTCTGCTTGTGCTCTGCCGACCCCCTCCGGTACGGGAAAAGAAGTGCAGGACTACACGTCGTTCATTTCTAATCGTGTTCATTTCTAACTGTGCTCGTTTCTAATTGCTCCTGGCCCCCTGGTGGCCAGGAAGAGGCCCAGGATAGAACACTTAGAAATGAAAGGATCTTGGCCCCCAAAAAATCAAAGAACTTTCGAAGACTTGGAAATGAACAGTGTGTGCCTGTGGGGAGGCTGTCGGCGCGCAGCCCGAAGCCTTGCCATGGGCAAGCGTGCGCTTTCGGAGGACCGCGCGGACTTCTTGGGTGTCGGCGCGGGGCCCCCTTTTCCCCCCCCCCCCCCCCCCCCCCCCTCCTCCTCCTCCTCCTCCTCCTCCTCCTCCTCCTCCTCCTCCTCCTCCTCCTCCTCCTCCTCCTCCTCCTCCTCCTCCTCCTCCTCCTCCTCCTCCTCCTCCTCCTCCTCTCCTCCTCCTCCTCCTCCTCCTCCTCCTCCTCCTCCTCCTCCTCCTCCTCCTCTCCTCCTCCTCCTCCCTCCTCCCTCCCTCCCCTCCTCCCTCCTCCCTCCTCCCTCCTCCCTCCTCCCTCCTCCCTCCCCTCCTCCCTCCTCCCTCCCCCCCCCCCCCCTCAGGCGCCCCTCCGCGCGAGGCGCCGCAGGGGCACAGCGCCGACCCGGGAGGCCCTCTCGCGGGCCTCCGAGAGTTCACGCGCGTGCACACCGCCGTGCTGCTTCTCGCGCGGCAGGTTCGCGCCGCGTCAGTGCCGCGGCGGCCCCCCGCGCTGGCTCTCCTGGTCGAGCGCCACCAGCGGCCCGGGAATCGGCCGACGTCGAACGATCGGGCGCCGTCGGCAGGCGGTGATCGCTCAAGGCTGAGCGGCCCCGCGCGGTGTCAGAAGCCTGCGCCGACGTCGTCACGACGTGGACCTGCCGTGGCATTATGAAGTCAAGCCGAGGTTTCGCCTCCAGCCGATGGTGTACACCATTTAGTTTGCACCACACGGCTCGCACCACATAGCTTGCACCACGTGGCTCATGCCATATAGCTTGCACCACACAGCTCACACCGCACAGCTGACACAGTCACGGACTAGTTATGGCGCTGCTCGCCGGGCGCCCGCGGTGGCGCGCCGCGCCCACTGTCGCGAGTCAGCAAGCAGCAGTGCCTGACAGGGGCCAGGCCAGCAGATAGATGCGCGTGTAGTCATCGCGCGCTGCACCACGTGACAGCCACACGACTCTCCAGCGGCAGGCCAGCCGGGTCGCCACCCGCGCCGAGCTGCGGGCGCTGTTCGACCGGGAGTTCGGCACGAGGTCGGCGGAGCTGCTGGAGGCGTACGCGGCGGCGGTGGGGGGGCCACCCGAGGAGGCCCGCCAGGTGCGCCGGGTGCTCGCGGGCCTCAGCTGCGACCTGTGGTATCCTCTCAGCACGAACGAAATGTCAGAGCCCCGAGTCATCAGGGGTAACTCGGGTCAGGGATAACTCGGGTTCGTTTTTCGGGAATCCAAACCCGAGTTACCCCGGACCCGAGTTACCTCGGATAACTCGGGCGTCCAGGGCCCCGAATCATCAGGGGTAACTCGGGTCAGGGCTAACTCGGGTTCCTTTTTCGGGAATCCAAACCCGAGTTACCCCAGACCCGAGTTACCCCGGATAACTCGGGCGCCCAAAAATGGGTACGGAAAGAAAGGGTA